ACAATTGTTAAATGATCATATCTTCATTTCTCTAAGAAAAGTCTTCAGTTAAATCCAAAAGATCATAAGTTGATAAAGTGAAGCATTAGTGCTAACATCCATTCACGGAATTAAGTGTTACATATAATAAGACATCTCAAGAACCAGTGTTGATTATGTTGGACCCTATTGAAAATATTCATTTTTTATTTAGAAGATTTTAAATTGAGGCAATAGACTTTTTGGTCACTGGTAAAGAAAAGACCTTGTTCAAAATTTGCCATAGTCTTGCTTCTTATTTCACAAACTCAGAAATGTCACAAGCAAATCACATTAAGTACTCTCAACAAAAAATGTCTTCTCTAATATGAGTAACCTATAAGAACTCCTGTTCCCCAAACCCAGTACTAAAAGACACCCCAATATATTTAGTAGATTTCTGAATATCATCTCATTCTTTTAACTATCATTTTAAATTATATTTTAAAAATTCACAGAAGGTATAGATTACGATTTTTACAAATTACGTCACATATATTCCATTGTATTTCACTTTGATTTTCAAAATCCTATGATTATCTATATACCACTGAAAATAATGTTACAGGGGAAAAACTCATGAATCCAGCTATTATTCTACCATCAAGACTGCCGGTTCTGTTTAGAACAAGAAAGTGAATTGATTTCCTACATAACACATAGCCAAAATAAAAAAAAAATTTGAAACGACTATTAGCAGAGGCATTCCTCTGAATAAATTTAAACAGGAAATGTGACGTACTGATATGGAACTATCGGTCTTTAAATTCTGAAGGGAATTCAGAGGTCCCCTAGCTCAGTTTTCCACACAATGCAGGACTCCTTTCATAATATCAGAGGCTAGGTCATAAACTGGTGGCCTGAGGACCATTTGCAGCCCATGGATATAGTCTACTTGGCCTGCACAGGCTCTTTTTTTTTTTTTTTTTTTTTTTTAATTAAGCCAACACACAAAAATCCCGATCTCTGCCTGCTCTGGAAAACCCACCTGGGGCCCCTTTGGATGACTCATGCCCTCTCCACTTCTCCACAGTGTCCACCACTTCCCATCCACCCACTTCACTCACACAAGAGCTGCCTGGTGCTTTAAGCACTTCAGTCACTGACCACTGCTCCAGAGTTATTCACTCTGTGGCTGAACATCTCCACAAAAGGGGAGGGAGCTCACAACTTTGCAATTTGACCTATTTCGTTGTAGGCAACTTTCTAAATGTGAGAGAGGTTTGTCTAGAATAATTTCCAGACATGAACTAGTTCTATCCTCGGAAACAAAGTAAGTCTACTCTCTCTTACACGGGAAAGACTTCTAGATATCCGAAGACACTTAACCTTACCAGGTCTTCAGCTCTAGTTTAACAGCCCCCAGAGCTCTCAAATATTCCTCATAATAATATGTTGTCAAGCCCACTCATGGCCCTTGGCATGTGTCTCTGCATGGATGAATTCTATTTGACTTATTTTTTACTATTAATTATGTGTTAATTTATTATATATTCTAACTATCAGCATTCTTCTTCAGATGTAATAATGTAATATTTATTTGACCTAGATCAGTGGTTCTCAAACTTTTTGGTCTCAGGACCCATTTATATTTTTAAAATTCATTGAGTATTCCAATGAGTTTTTGTTTAAAAGAGCTATGTCTATTGATATTCACTGTATTAGAAATTAAAATTGAAATTGTAAAAAATTTATTAATCCATTTAAAAATACATGTTGATGTAATAGCATGTTCCTATGAAAAATAAACATTTTCCAAAACAAAATAAATTAGTAAGAAAAGCAACATTGTTTTACATTTTTGCAAATCTTTTTAATGTCTAGCTTAATGGAAGACAGCTGGATTCTTGTAACTATTTCTGTGTTCAATCTGTTGAAATATCACACATAGGTAGCCTCTAGAAAACTCGGGGAGAATGAGAGTAAAAAATGTACATAACATCTTAACATTATTACAAAAATAGTTTTGACCTTGTGGACCCCCTGAAAGGGTCTCTGGTACTCCTCAGGGGTTCCCAGACCATATTTGGGATCCATTTGTGCTTTAATTAATGTAGCTTAGGTTCCAGTTAGTTTTTCTAGCATCCATGGCCTTCTTTTCACTTATCTTGAGCTTGTGGTCAACTAAAATAACCTGCTCTTTCTCAAACAAATTGTTGTCATGTTAAGCTTCCCCCTTTTCATCTAAATGCAAACTTTATACATATATTTCCCTGTAGATCCCATTTTGTTGGTTTCAGGCTACTCTTCAGTGGTAGATGCCACTGGTGCCCTACCCAGGTCCCCTAAAGGCTAGCACACCTATCCCCACTCAGCAGTTGTGATAGTTGGCAGCCCACATCTCTGAAGAATTTCTCAGTAATCCTGGAGCCCACTTGCTTGGGAAGCTATGTCCACTTCCACCTCAGCCAATGACTGACTGACAAGCCAATGACTGTCACAGAGAACAAAAGGCCAGCGTCAAGGACACAAAGTGGGACTGATTCTGGGTGTATTTGGTGCTCCAGAGCTTCCTAGGGGAACAGACTAAAGTTAGTCTCTACCTGAGACCACATTCTTCCTTGGCTTTTATCCCTTGTTCTGTCCTGCTTCCGTTACTCCCTTTCTCCTAAGAGCACATCCCTAAGAAGTCACTTCAATAGGAATCTCCATCTCGGACTCAACCTAAGACATCTTTCATCCCATCAAGGTTATTGAAATATCGACTCTATCATAGAGCATATTAACTAACCATCTCAGCTGTGCAGCATCTCAAATATACTAAGTATTCTATTATAAAGTAGTGCAGTGGTCTCAAAGTGTGGTCCCCAGACCAGCAACATCAGCATCAGCTGGGAACTTGTTAGAACTACATAGTCTCAGGCCTCACCCAGACCTACTGAACCAAAAACGCTATCACAGAGATGAGCCATAATTAACTAATCTATTACTGTTGTACATTTCAGATGATTCCATTTTTTCCTATTATAAATAATGGTGAAATGACTATATTCGCAGGTAAATCTTTGTGTACATTTCTGATTATTTTATGAGGCTGCCTTCAATTTACTTTGATGTAGAAGTATTGCATCAAAAAAGATGATGTATTGATAAATAAATAGAGGGGTCAATATATAATAAAGTAAACACAGCAAAATGTTAATGGCAGAGTCTAGGTGATGAGTACAAGGATGTTCACTGAAAAATTCTTTCGACTTTTTCATATGTTTGAAATTTGTTGGGAAATGTTGAAAATGAAAAATGCTGGGAAAATTTCTATTTTATGAAGCTAAATTCCTAGAATTGGAATAGACTGTTCATAGTATGTGCACATCTTTAAACTTTGTGAAGTTAAAACATCAACCAGAAAGTGTCAGTTCCCTCACACTGTCAACACCACTTTTTAGTGCTTTTCAACTCTCTGCCAACTTGTTAGGCAAAAACTGGCAATTCATCTCTTAAATCATCATTTCCATGTGCATTTTTTTCAGTTAATATATAATGAATTGAAAAGCTTCCTAACATGCTTGGCTTCAGGTTTGGTGTTGGTTATTCAAACTATGAAGCAGTAATCAAGATTTGGGTACCCACCCACGGGCACTTACTTTATTACGAAGCACAATACCCTCAAGAATAACTTGTAAACCAAATTATATTGGTGAGAGTTACTTCCAGGCCAGCATCATACACAGGCAGAGGGGGCTAGTGTCAGGTTGCCAAATGTGTCTGATTTAACAGGTCCTGAGAAAAGGCTCTTCCTTCAAAAAAAAGTTTCTCTCCCATTTTACCAGGATGCTCAGAATTCTAAGCATTAGTGGTTTCTTCCTTTGTGTTGGAGCAATTAGATCTCCACCAATTCTATTTTAAAATTCAATTATTTTACTTCTGGATGGACTCCATATAATTGCAATGCATCTAAAGGATGGAACGCAATGAAGCCCTTAAAAAAGAACTATGGGGGCCAGCCCGGTGGCGCAGCGGTTGAGTTTGCAGGTTCTGCTTCTCAGTGGCCCGGGGTTAGCCGGTTCGGATCTCAGGTGCAGACGTTGCACTGCTTGGCAAAAAGTCATGCTGTGGTAGGCATCCCATGTATAAAGTAGAAGATGGGCATGGACGTTAGCTCAGGGTCAGTCTTCCTTGGCAAAAAGAGGAGGATTGGCAGTGGTTAGCTCAGGGCTAATCTTCCTCAAAAAAGAAAAAAAAGAGAACTATGGAATTCTACATTCACTGACATAGAAGATGTTCATGATATATTTGTTCATTGCAAAACACAAGTATATCATGTGTGGGTATGATAGAAATAAGTGGAAGGTTATCTACTAAAATATTAGTAGTAGTTACTGCCAGTTGAAGGATGTATGGGAGTTTCTTTACTCTTTTTATATATTTCTCTATTGTTTATTTTTACAATGGATATATTAAAAATTTTTCTTAACAATAACAAATACAATAAGGCTATTTGCATTTTCATAAAAAGTAAATTGAAAATATCCCAGAAAACCATGAAGCCATTAGCACCTTATCAAAATTTAATTTAGCAAGATTTTCAAGTCAAGGTTAAAGTCCCCTAAGGAATGATACCCAGACCCAGCATATTTTAAAGGGCATAGGGGAAAAGAGCTAAAGACAGACTAGGCAAAGAAGTCTCCAGCCATGTATTAAGCAGCTGATGGATAGGTCTGTATTATCCTAGGGAGATTTCACCAGAGAAAAATCAACAGGCAACAGAAGGCATTGGGGGTCTTCAGATCCAAGAGAAATCAAAGCAGTGAAGGCTCCCTACAATCCATAGTCTCAGAGTGGATCTTAACTTTACCACAATTCCTGCTTTCGATATTATGGAAGAAAATACCTCCTGACAAATGATGTCACTTCTCCCCCTACAGCAGGTCTGGGATCCAATGGCAGTTAATTTTTCTAAATATATATTTAATAGATTTAAATTTTTAAATTTACACTTCACAAAGATTGAAAAGGAGAATATGACATGTTAAATCACTCACCTCCATGGGAAGACATGTCTGTTCATGGGCAGATGTTCCCGCACGTGACACCACAGTCTCATTTTTAATTTGAAAATGCATTTTGCACATGTAGCCATCAGAAGAGTCCTGTGTTTTATCACCAAAGAATACATAAAAAAATGCCAATTATTTTAAGAATTCATCATTCTAAGAACTACAGCATCTCCTAAGTTCTAAACTAAGCAATGAAAAACTAATGATGTTAATGAGATAATATGGATACAGAAACTCAACCAATACCCTCTGCACATAGTAGGTTGTCAATAAATAGAAGTTTTAAACCCCTACCTTTCTCACTTATTAATTATGTTTCCCCTTCTCTTAGATTAACTCTCTCCCTCCCTTTTTTTCCCCAAGCAGTCCATAGCACAGAAGTCATAGAGAAAGCTTTAGGTTGGCAGTTGTTAAAAAGCATTTAAACTTATAGAAATATCTTGTCATATAATTAATATTGATCTTCATGGCATATATAGAAAGAGAAATTTTAGGATGCCTTACAACAGACCTTGAAGCTCAAAGGGACCTCCCATTTCAATTTCCTGTTCGAGGCAAGATCTCCATTAAAACATCCCAGGGAGGTAATTATGCAGCCCCTGCCTGAGCACTGCCGGGAACCTGCACTGTACTCCCTTACACGACCATCGTCTCTATTTTGGCACATGGCACATTGTTCATCAAGAAAGTTTTGTCCTATATCGCACTGAAATGTTTCCCTTTAACCTTAACTCACTGGTTCTAGTTCTACCCTCTGGAGTCTAAACTCTTTTCTACAGAACCATTCTGCAAAGAGTTGAAGACAATTACCACCATTTTCAAATGTCCCTTGGAAGATAAGATTTCCAAGCCCTTTACCAGCTGCATTTCTCTCCTGTTTCTTATACTTGCTATTAAATACACTAATGAATAATGTCCATCTAACTGTGGTCAGTTTCATTTTTTTTAAGGCGAAACTTGTTTGAATTTAATAAAGTCGTGTAAAAATGTAGTACCTCCTACATGCACAAGTATACTCAAATATTAATGAATATTATTAATTTTCCATCAAACTGTCACACTAACATTCACATTTTAGCAAAATTAAAATAATTATAATTAAAGAAGATGCGGATACTTAAACTGACGTGGTAAAAAAACGATACAGAATAGCATTCTAACTAAAACATTCATAATTCACTTAAATACTTTCACTAAAATTTGACAACCCAGTTTTTAACTATAAACTAAGAAAAGAAAAATTTATAGTCTCTCTGAGTGACTTAATATTAAATATTTTTTAAAATTTGTATCATGCCAACTATGTAAGAGCATCTGATTTTAGGTACTGTACTAGGTTGAACAGTGTCCCCCCAAAATTCATGTCCACCCAGAACCTATGAATGTGACCTTATTTGGAAACAGGGTCTGTGCAGATGTAATCAAGATGACATCATACTGGAATAAGGCAGGCCCTAAATCCAACATGACCGGTATCCTTCTAAGAAGAGAGAAATTTGACTACAGAGACACAGATACATGGGAACAGGCCACAGGAAGACGAAGGCAGAGATTGGAGTGATGTGTTTACAAGCCAAAGAATGCCAACAATTGCCATCAACCATCAGAAGCTAGAAGAAACAAGGAAAGATTTTTTTCCTCGAGTCTTTGGAGGGAGCGTGGCCCTGTCGACGCCTTGATTTCTGACTTCCAACCTCCAGAATTGTGAGAGAATAAACACTTGTTTTAAGCCACTCAGTTTGTAGTATTTTGTTGCAGCAGCCCTAGGAGACCAATACAATAACTACACTCTGAGAAATTTGGTGGCACCTTTACAACACCTCCCAGTTAGCTGACATCCCGCCAGCACTTGCACAGGGACCCCACTGGCTGGCTGTGATCAGCATCAATTTTTATTGGCTGGAGCCAACTGACTCTGACTGGTAGATCCACTGCCACAGATTGTTAAACATTTTGATATCATTCCTGCCTGTAAGGTGAGCTGTCAGGTACCCAATACTATCATCTTTTACTATTTTATTAATGTTCTTCATTTTGTAGAGGGAATCATTGCCTTAAATTCCAGTCTACGTCATCCAACAACAAAGCACACCCCCTGATGGCCTCCTACCACTGAAATCTTTGTATTTAGACAATGCAAATGACTTTTAATATTGGCTTAAATGGAGAAAGATATATGTAGTAACTGTTGTTGTTGTTACTTTTTACATCAAGTATCCATTCCTCCTTCTTTTGGAACAGCAGCCAATTGTCCTCTAAGGAATCACTCCCTTCTCCCCTGTCAGTGTGGACATGGCCTCCCAGCTCCAGGGATGTCACAGGACTCTGATCTGGCCAGTCAGAAAATCACTCCTGCTGGCCTCAGAGACTCAGCAGGGCAATCCTGATCCAATCAGAGCCAATGAGATGGGATCCAGGACCTCGGTTAGGGGAGGAGGGGAGGCCGTTCTCTTTTCTACTGAATTTGAACCAGAAAGATAAAATCCTGGCAGTGCTGGCAGCCATCATGTAATTAAATGGAGCCTGAGAATGAAGCCAACGCAGAGGAAAGCAAAACCACGAGATGAGAGAGACCAGATCCTCATCACACTTTTTATACCAACCATTCCTGAAGCTAGCTCTACTCTCAAATTTTTCAATTACATGGCCCCCAAAAGTCCCTTCTTTGCTTCCCCCAATTTGAGTTAGGTTTTCTGTCACTTGCAAACAAAATAATCTTCCTATAAAATGACATATATTGTGTTTATTAGTTTAAACTAGAAGATTTTCTACTGTATTGTAATATCACTCTTATTATGATAGATAATGAATAGTTGATTATATAAAAGATTTACCAAATACAATAAAACCATAATGGTATGTATTTGTGAGAAAAAGTACTGGAAGTCTGCAATTTAAAAATAATCTAGCAATAAAGAAAAATAACTCAGGATATTCAGAGAAGAGTTAGAGCTAAACTGTGTGATCTGGATATAAGAGAGTCACGTTCTATTTCATATTTTTCTATACCTGAGCACTGGTCATACAACCTCTTCTTTGTTTTTTTTTGAGGAAGATTAGCCCTGAGCTAACATCTGCCAGCAATCCTCCTGTTTTTGCTGCGGAAGACTGGCCCTGAGCTAACATCCATGCCCATCTTCCTCTACTTTATATGTGGGACACCTGCCACAGCATGGCTTGACAATCAGCATGTAAGTCCGCACCCGGGATCCGAACCAGTGAACCTCGGCCCGCCGAAGCAGAACGTGCGAACTTAACCGCTGCGCCACTGGGGCCCCTACATACAACCTCTTCTTAAGAAGCTACAATTTAGTTAAACTCTAATTACAATGCAAAATACATCTCCTTTGACATCAAAAGAGATGAGTCAAAAATTCCTGTGCACCTATGTTATAAAATCTAAATAAATTATCTGATCTCTTTTCCAATGAGTTAAGATAGAGAGATGTCATTTTCAATATTACTTAAAATTTAAGAAATTTTAATTTCTATTTTAGGTAATTTCTGATACTATTTATTAGTGTCTACAGGGAGGTGCACAAGGGTTTTGGCTCAGCCTATATTTGGTCGTGGTTATTTTCTCTTCAGTATCAATCTCTTAAAAGTCAAGATTAGCCTTGAAAAATTAAACACAGAAAAAGGAGAGTTTATAGCATTTTAGTTTCCCTTCAAACATTTACTTCCACAGAAGTAGGCTTTTCTCTTAAATCGTTTTAATTTAAGGCAGAAAAATGTTTTGTTCTTTGCTTTTTTAGAGGCAAGCCAGCGTGAAAGCATGGGAACAGCCACCCTGAGCCAGCACGACAGTCCATTGAGGCCAGTAAACACGTTTAACTCAAATCTCCCCCGACTAGCCCAGTGGATGCTCTGCTCCAGCTTCCCCGCTTTCTTTTTGTGCTTACTATAGCTTACAATTTAACATTAACTCTTCTTTAATGTTTTTTAAACTTTTTTTTTGAGGAAGAGTGTCCCTGAGCTAACATTTGTTGCCAATCTTCCTCTTTTTTTTTTCTCCCCAAAGCCCCAGTACATAGTTGTATATCCTAGTTGTAAGTCATTCTAGTTCCTCTATGTGGGATGCCATCACAGCATGGCTTAATGAGCGGTATGTAGGCCCACACCCAGGATACGAACCTGTGGACCCAGGCTGCCCAAGAGGAGTGTGCAAACTCAACCACTCGGCCATGGGGCTGGCCCCTCTTCTTTAATTCTTTAACACTGGTTAGTTTTATTTCCTCCAGTCGATCCTAAGTTCAGGGCCTAGACCCCAGCCCCCGGGAGAAGAAAGGTCACTAAAGGAAGTCAGGGTCCTTACTGCAGAATCCAGATGGCCATTCCACATAAAAACCTGGTCCCCATGGAGGACCTGCATGGAGGGAGGTAGAAACAAAAGGAAGCTTACAGTTTATCCAGTTCAACCCTCTTGTTTTAGAGATGAGAGAGTGAAGGACTGAAGCAGTTATAAGAGATTTATCTTACAGCTAATTAGGGGCAGAGCTGGAAGTGGAAAGCAGGCCTCTTGACCCTAGAGTTCTTTTCACTACACTAAGCGAATTCTACCACAGAGTAGGATCATGGCAGAAACAGGCTCACTGACTCCTGTGGACTGGTGTAAACCAGCGATTTGCACACAGAGTAACAAGTTCAAGCCACGTAAGTGTGGTCTGGGGACCAGCAGCCTCAGCGTCGCCTGGTAGCCTATTAGATTCGCAGAATCTCAAGCCCCATCCCTGACCTCCTGAATCAAAATCTGTACTGTAAGGGCATTCTAGGTGATCTGCGTACACATTTGGAAGCAGTGAGGCAGCATGCACAGCATTCTCTGACTCAAAGGGATTGCAAATTGATTGCATTAAACAGTGGTTCTCAACCCTAGCTGCACATCAGAATCACCTGGGGAGTTTTCAAAATCCTCTTGCAGGGGTCCGCTCTCAGACCGGTGAAGTCAGAATCTTCCCAGCAGGCTCTAATGCAGCAGCCAGGGGAAAGAACCACTGCACTAAACGCACTGGAGTCCCCCTTTTGAATGCTGAGAACAGAGTCAACCATGTACTCTGCAGCTGCCTCAGGAGAAAGGGCCACAGACAACACCC